AAGTAACAACTTCCATGGGTATGTTTAGGCACTCGGAATCAGCATAGATAATGTAGGGTACACGCATTTGCTTATAATAACTTTCAAACTTTAGCAGATTCTTTCCAGGTTCAGGCATTACTGTTTGCTGAGCTTTTTCACCTATACTTAGACAATTCTTTCGGTGAGCATCCAGAAGGTCAGCACTAGAGAATTTATGAAGGCATCGACGACATGGGTGTTTTAAACCACAATGTTTACTGTTATAGTAACACATTCCGGCTAAGATTTTGATCCAGACATAGTTTTTCTGGATCCACCTCATCCATCCATCACCTCATCCTCTATGAGTAAGAGATCAACTGCAATACCTTTTTGTTTACTTATGTAGATTAGATATAACCTTTTTTTTTATACAAATACATTGACTGATAACGTAGGATTTTGGTGATCAAACTTAGAAGTATTAGTAAATTTTACTGGGAAGCTCACATTTGCAATTTTTAGCTTTCCGAGATATTTAATGTACTTAGATGTTCGGTCAGCATACTGATTTGCGAGGTAGAGCATTCTAATTATTGCCTACTCAAAACATCGATTATCATTATTTTTCACATTAATAACACACCGCTTATGAATGCAAGCAGGGTGTTTTAATATAGCTTCTGACGTTAAATGAGCTACAATGAGGATTTTATATGAGGGTTTGTATATAAGAGCAACGTATCAGTAACATGAACGTTTTAAAATTAGTTACCTTATTGGCAATTCTCAAATTTCCATTTGAGAATCGCCAATTAGGTTTGATTATTCAAAAAAGCCAATCCACGTTCACCAAGAAACAGAATCACATTCAAGATTTGTTTTATAGTTTTTCTTCAGGTAGCTGCTTCATTGAGGATTTGGCGGAAAATGTGCAAATGTGAAACTTGATTTCCAGGTAAAAATAATTGAACTAGAAAACAAAATACTGCTGTCTTTGATGGGCTAAGTACAAGCTAATCTCGAGAAAGGGATTCTTCATTTGGCATTTTGATTTTTAAAACAGACATTATGATTTTTAAAACACATATAAATTATATGATTTCTAGTATCTTTTGGCATATCCAGTGAAAAGGAAACGTAACCAGCCCTGACCTATTCAGCAAAGAAAAAAAAAATGGAAATATGGAAAAATGTAAATTTCAAAGTTACCAATGTTAAATGATTGCATCAAAGCTGGTCAAACTGTGCTAATGCAGAAGATTGGATGCTTTCGTTATCTTCTACTGCGTTAAGCTAGTAAAAGAGGCGTCTGATGTCTTTGGAGTAGCTGTAAACGTTACTTGATGTTCCAATATCAAGTAACGTTTACCTCTTGTGTAGAGTCGCTTCTTTTGCATTGCTGATTTTTTTCCTGATGAATACGTGCGTTTCAGATTTATTATTTCCAGGTACTTTGGTCAAATATATTATATATATATATATATATATATATATATATATATATATATATATATATATATATATATATATATATATATATATATATATACATATATATATATATATATATATATATATATATATATATATATATATAATATATATATATGTATATATATATATATATATATATATTTATATATATATATATATATATATATGTATATATATATATATATATATATATAAATATTCATGCTTATGATATATTACATATAATATTGTGTGTTTATCATTATTAATTCATAAATTAAGTTATATAATCAAGCGAATCGCCAAGCGAAACTTGCCTACTCTATATTTAACAACATTGAACATTTGTGCTGTATTTGTGAAAAGTTGTAAATAATTTGTTTTGAATCGTATGGATAAAGGGATAAAAAAAAAAAAAAAAAAAAAACGCGGAAGTTTGTTGCATTTCTGTGGACAAATTTATTTAAGTTAAACACTTGTGGGAACCCCCATAGGAGCTGGGACCCCGAGTAATTTGGTCGGATGACTCGCCCTCTGCATGACCCTGCCATAAAACTATATACATTAAGTATTTATTTTACAACTTCAGGAGTTAATTATATACCAATAATTTATTTTTTTCAATATGTGTCTAAGAAAGTAGCCGTTTTAGTAGGTTCAAGTCATCTCACTTTCTTTTTTAATGTTTATGTTTCAAAATAGAGAATGTTTTTTAATTGATGTTCTTTATATATTAATTTAGTTTTGCTTTTTAAATCTTGAAAGCTTTCACCGTATCCTTTGTAATATAAAATCTGCAAACTTGTATATAACGTTTTGAACAATCATGTTCACTTAGCAGCAAGCAAAAAACGATCAATACTAATTGTAGAATAAGAGGTACCAAAAAACATTCCCACTAAGCTATTATAAAATATTTTGTTTAGTATGTAGTGAAATACATTCCTAAACTTTATAATATCATTGATAAAAGTAGTACCAGTCAGATAATCAAAGACAAGATTTGCTACTTCAAAACTCTACAGAAAAGTACAATTTTGGCTAAGGTTTTAAAAAGAACTTGTTGTTTTAAAAATTATTTTGTAGAACCAGCGGTAAAATGCTTTAGCATTTACATCAAAATGAATTACTTTTACTAAGAACTAAGTTGTAATTACTTCTTCTAAAATACTTGAAATATTTATACTTGATTTTCAATTCAGTTTAAAGCAGGATACCATTTATAGTAAGCAAGCTTTACTGCAATCTGAATAAAATAGTTTTGAAACTTAATAAAAAAAATAAGAATCTCTCTTTTATTCTTTCCTAAATTATTTATTAGTAGTCTTTTCTTTGTGTTTGGCGTTGAGGAAAAGAGTCACATTGCGATTAACATCGTTTCTTGAAAAACAAACACATAAATATACTTTCTCCACTTTAGTTAGGATAAATTAAATAAGGTAAACTAACATTTGAACTTAAATTGAGTTCTGCTTCTAACATATAGCAACTCAATAGCAGCTAAAACAGCATCAAACTCATTCAAAATATCAAATTTTGTGCCATAAAATGACATTTAAAAAATATTTGATTCACTCTCAGTCCGGTCATCCTACAAAGTTCAAGTTTTTTTACAAAATCCATAGACAACGGTTCGCATTTCTAGACTGGTTAAATACTATGACTATTAAGCAAACAAAGAAAATCAATGATGTCATGTACTGTCATGTACTCCTAAGAAACAAACGCGCTTGAATAAAATATCAAGTTTATAGATTGTAGCATATATATATTGCAAATGTATTTGTGCTAATTCTTTATATATATATATATATATATATATATATATATATATATATATATATATATATATATATATATATATATATATATATATATATATATATATATATATATATAGATAAATGTTGTATACTGCTGGAAATACAACTCTTGTCTGTTTAAGAGTGATCGATATCTTTTTTTTTTTTAAAAAAAAGATCAAATTTTATTAAAATAATTTAAATGAAAAAAATACAACTTTATGATGAAACTAAAAGTTTCATGCCATTTGGCAATCATCAGCCATATTATTATTATATTATTATAATATATTATTATTAATATGGCTGATGATTGCCGAATGGCATGAAACTTTTAGTTCCATCATATAGTTTTATTTTTTTCATTTAAATTATTTTAATATATTATGAGCACTGCATGCATAATATATAGATTATATTATGTATGCAGTATTCAAAGTGAGGCAGGATGAAGGAGGGTGTTATCCCGTCACCTTTTTATGAAGTCTAATCCATTCCGCGACTTTTTTGTAAATCTCTCTATATAACAATCATTAGATCGGATGGTATTTTTAATTTACCGAATACCATCCAGTTACTTTTTTTTCACCACTTCGAGCACTGTTTGTATGTATATATACATATATGTGTATAGTTATATACATATATGTATATATAAATATAGTAAATTACAGATATCTTGACCCTCTAGGGGACCAAGGAAAACGGTACTACTAAATGAATGTTTGACTTAAGCAATGTATAACTGCCTAAAAGGTTTGTTTTATGTGTGTATATGCGTTGATGTATGATGTTAATATATAATGTATCTTTATCCAAATAGTTTGATATCTTGGTCAATAATGAAGTAAATTAGGCACGGATAAGTAATGGGTTGTTTTTTTTTCTTAATATTGACCACTTAATGTTCATATTTACTTGTGAACAATGTGAAGTATAATAATACTTGTAAAACTTTCAAGTGTACTTCACTTTAAAGATATTTTTATTTAGAAGCAGTTTTCTGATGTTCTTAAATTAAAAGACACAATGCACAAAGATAGAATTTAAACTGTTTGAAGGTTGTACTATATTGATTGAATCGTGGCAAAATATGCATCAAATCAAAATGAGTCTGATAACAGAAGGCAATAAAAATACATATTAATTTAATATTGGTGATAAAAATAATGATATCATGATATTATCAAGATCGTTTTGAAAATAACTTTAATTTTGTAAAAGTTTTTGTTCTAAAAATGCTTAAGTTATTTTTTTGGTTTTATTTGCTTTTAATAATTGCATTTCAATTTCTATAAATTAGTTACTTGTGTTAAAAAAATGGTACAGGACAGATTATTTTTAACTATAACAACAGTTAATATTATAATATAAAATTAACTAATAATACTACTAATAACAATAAGTGAAAGCTGTAAAAATTGAGAACAAGATGTGCAGTGTAGTAGCATACCCAGTAAGCACATGAACGTTTTTGAAACGTTTTTTTAACTAAGAAAAAAAACGTTTTTTAAACGTTCTGAATGGCAATACCTAAAAAACGTTTTTAAAAAAGCGTTTAAAAAAGGTTCTGAAAAAGTCGTTTAAAAAACGTTTTAAAAAAAACGTTTTCTCAAATAACCTAAATAAAACCATAATTTAGGCGTCTTTTAAACTTTTAAAAGACGTTATTTTTTAGAAAATATTCCCAAATCCATAGGTACTATTATTAAATTGTTTTTAAAAGAACCTGTTGGTTTAAAAAACAAGAAAAATAAAAAATTTATTTAAAAGTTATTTTAAAATTTATTTTTTAAAACAATTTACAAACAAAGTAATATTATAACGATGGATATAAGGCACTTTAAGACAAGCAAAAGTTGCCCGTTTTCACGAATCAGCAATTATTGCATCGACAATCGACTCTGTGTATGATTCGTGAGAAGTCGATGCACAAACTAAAAGAAAAAACTATATATTTAAAACAGACAATCTGAACAGTAATAATAGTATTATAGTATAATAATAATAGTAATAAGTTTTTAAATTACAAATATATGTTTTAAAAATATATATATACAACTTCACATTGCATATATATATATATATATATATTAGGGTGTCCCAAAAAAAAAAAATTTTTTTTTTCCTTTAGTTTTGTGTGTAGTTTTGTCCGTTAAAAGTGAAAATAAGAAGATTTTTGAAAAATTTTGAAGTTTGACCCCCCCGCCCTTCTTTTAAAGTTTTTACCCCCTCTGCCGCCCACTTTTTCAAAATTATTCACTTTTAAACTGATTTTAGGCTAAATATATAAATGTATTAAATATGTTTTGTATCAATATTGATCACTATTATAATTCTAAACTATGTATCATAGCTAATATTAGTAAACATAATTTGTTTCAATTCAACGATTCTCAAAAATTATTAAATATTATTATTCAATGCTTGAGATAAGAAAATTTTTTATGATGAATATTAATGTTACATACATTATTCAAATAATTTTATAATTTATAGCTACTTTTTTATCTATAGATATAATAGCATATATAAAAAATATTTGATCAGTTATGAGAAATAGTAAATTGAGGAAAAATGATGAGAAGTTTGATAATATTGTTGGTAAATTATTACCTACCCTTGAAGCAAAGATGTATAGTCAGCTACCAACAAATGGAGATGTTGTACGCCATTATCTTTATCTTACAAGATTTGAATTGAAATTAACTGGTAAAAAAGAAGTTGCATCTGTAGTTTGGGAAAAAGTTTATGTTTTTTGGAAAATGGCAGGAATTCCAATAAAACAGAAGAAAGATATTGTCAGAATGATACTACATCTGATTCATCTTAGAGAGAACTTGATTAAAAATGCAAAAAAAAAAAGTTATGCAGCTCAACTTCTGAGTTTTACTAATAAACTATCATTATTGTTTGATATTGCA